CCCGTGGACTCTCAGAGCAGGGGCCAGGATGACCACACAGCCAGCTCCCAGGGGCTGCCCAGAGAGCCCGCATCCCAGCAGCAGAATTGTCGCCTGCTCCTCATACTGTGAACTGTGAGCAGGCTCTAAACACACCATTCATTTTCCCTTTTAGCACAGAAGGGTCTCTCAGCTCTGACTACCGCCAAGTCAAAACATTCCCCAAACCACAGCCCTTGGGTGAGATGCAGGACTGGCCAACGGCTGGGAGGAAAAACAACCACCCACCGGCTGGAAACCACCGAGGCCACAGGAGGCTGGGTCGCCTTGCTCACAGAGGCCGGGAAACAGCACTTTAAATATATATATTAAATTGATTTTAGTGAGAGAGGAAGAGGGAGGGAAAGAGTGAAACATCCATGTGAGAGAGAAACATTGATGGGTTGCCTCCTGCACACCCGCTGATGGCGATTGAGTCTGAAACCCCAGGCATGTACGTTAACCAGGAATCCAACTGGTAACTATATGGTGCATGGGACAATGCCCAACCGACTGAGCCACACCGGCCAGGGTAAAACAGCATTGTGTGTGTGTGTGTGTGTGTGTGTGTGTGTGTATTATTGCTTTCAGAGGAGAGGGGACACATGGTCCAGGGAATGAGTTCCTTTCCCCACAGTTGATGACTCCAGGGCAGACGAAGATGGGTCCCACCCCCAAGAAAGCCTTTGTGTGAAGGAGGGGTCGCTCTACTAAAGAAACAGAAAAGCAGGATTACACCCAGGAGCCTTCAGTAGAGGTGGGGTGTTACCAGTTATAACCGGGACAGCAGAGGTTGAACCCTGGCAAGTTTGGGAATTGCCAGCTGGGATGTTACCCAGACACATACGTCTCCCCACAAGGAGCAGCCAGGCTCCCAGCTGGAATGTCAAGCGCTTGCTCCGATTGTCCCCAGAGGCCTGGTCATTGGTATGCTGGGCACTTGGTCATTGGCCTGACCAGGCCCTCATGGTTTGCTGTACTAGCGGGGACTGAGAGCCTTGATTACAACCAACACAGAGACGATCCAGTGAAACGCAGTTGCAAAGGTGGACCCACCTCCACCGGCTCCCAGGGCCCCGTTGTGGGGTGAGGATGCAGGGAGGGGTTCTGGCTGGCTTCACCACACTCCTTTTTTTGTATCAGCTGAAGGCTCCCCTGAACATTCGTAGCTACACACCGAGCCTGGGGCCCGCAAGGATCCGAGTCTCCCATGACCAGACCAGCATACAAATGGGGTTTTGGATTTAAAGATCGGGTTCGATGGCACATGATGGGAGGGGCCCTCGAAGGAGAAAAACCCCTTTTCAAAGCGCCTTCAGTCTACAAGCGAAAATTCAAGTCCCTAACAAGGCTCTGTCTGTTTTCAGTCCCCACGCCCTACGCCCAGGCCTTTGCCCCCCAAAAAAGGAAAAAGGGAAGCTTTCAATCCAGTCGCCCTAAATCCTCTTTTATCCTTGAGATAATCCGGTGTTTGTGTCTCTGGGGTTCTGGTGCTCCAGGTGCCCTCATCTCCCGCCACAGAGGTGACTTCCAACATCTCCCTGCCCCCCCCCCCCCCACCCACCTTTTTTTTTCTCACATACCTGGAAGGAAAAAGCTTGAGGACCCTCCAGTATATAAGCAACCTGGGGGAGTAGGAAGACACAGGAACACACTGAGGCTTCCTCACACGTTGAAACCTGGTTGTGACCAGCACCCAGTCCCCGCCCTCATGTCCCCATGAGATGGGCTTCTTAGCCAAAGCCCAATCAGCCCAACTCGGGCAGAGTCCACGTCATCCCGGGGGAAATGTGACGTCAGAGCCATCATTCTGCCCCAACTGATAAGCAGCGACTAAATGTCCTCCCTGGCAGTTCTCCTGATGACCCCTGTAACCCCTAGAATCCGCATGGTACAGCAGGGAAACTGGGCCTCAGAGAAGTTGAGGTCACACAGCAGGAAGCGGGAGAGCCAGGATCAGGTTACCGGGGGCAGAGGCCCGGCTTCTAGTTCACTCACAGGACCATTCACCCGGGCGCCTGCAGTTGCTGTGCCCTGGGACTCAGTGTGGTTCCCTTCTTTGCCTGGGTTAGCATGGAGCCGCCCCCTCTCGCCT